GGAGTGAGCCAGTACACCTGGCCCTTTTCAGTTTTTCGTTTGTTTCAAGCATGTTTGCAATTGCCCATTGAAGTTTTTATTTTATTTTATTTTATTTTTATTTTTGACAGAGTCTTGCTCTGTCGCTCAGGCTGGAGTGCAGTGACATGATCTGGGCTCACTGCAACCTCCGCCTCCTGGGTTGAAGGGATTCTTCTGCGTCAGCCTCCCGAGTAGCTGGGATTACAGGTGCACGCCGCCACGCCCAGCTAATAGAGACAGAATTTCACCATGTTGCCCAGGCTGGTCTCAAACTCCTGAGCTCAGGTGATCCACCCATCTCGGCCTCCCACAGTGCTAGGATTAGAGGCATGAGCCGCCGCACCCAGCCTCATTGAAGCGTTTTTGTGATGACTGTCTTACAGTCTCTGTCCGTCAATTGTAACATCTCTGTTGTCTTAGCGATGGCATCTGTGGACTCTCTTTTTTCATTCAGTTTGAGATCTTCCTGGTTCTTAGTATGAGTGTGTTTTTCTGTTTTTTGTTTTTTTGCTTTTTTTTTTTGGAGGCAGAGTGTTGCTCTGTCTCCCAGACTGGACTGCAGTGGCATGATCTCGGCTCACTGCAACCTCTTCCTCCTGGTTCAAGGGATTTTCCTGCCTCAGCCTCCCAAGTAGCTGGGATTACAGGCACCTGCCACCATGCCAGGCTAATTTTTATATTTTTAGTAGAGATGGGGTTTCACCATGTTGCCCAGGCTGGTCAGTATGAGTGATTTTTTAAAAAATATTGAAACCTGAACATTTGAGTACAGTAAGTCCTCACTTAACGTTTTTGTTTTTTACTTTTTTTTTTTTTTTTTGAGACAGAGTCTTACTCGGTCGCCAGGCTGGAGTGCAGTGGTGCAATCTCAACTCACCGCAACCTCTGCCTCCCGGGCTCATGTGATTCTCCTGCGTTAGCCTCCCAACTAGCTGGGATTATAGGTGCCTGCCACTACGCCCGGCTAATTTTTGTATTTTTAGTAGAGACGGGGTTTTGCCGTGTTACCGAGGCTGATCGATATGAGTGATTTTTTAAAATAATATTGAAACCTGAACATTTGGGTACAGTAACTCCTCACTTAACATTATTATTATCGAGACGGAATCTTGCTCTGTCACCCAGGCTGGAGTACAGTGGCGCGATCTGAGCTCACTGCAACCTCTGCCTCCTGGGCTCAAGTGATTCCCCTGCCTCAGCCTCCCGAGTAGCTGGGACTACAGGCACCCACCATGCCCAGCTAATTATTTTGTGTTTTTAGTAGAGCTGGGGTTTCCGCATGTTGGCCAGGATGGTCTCGATCTCTTGACCTCATGATCCGCCTGCCTCGGCCTCCCAAAATGCTGGGATTACAGGTGTGAGCCACCTAACATTATTAACATTATCGATTATTGATAGGTTCTTGGAAACTGTGACTTTAACCAATGCGAAGAGCGTAACTCTTCTTCATGTCAATTGTAGTAAAACCGGTTTTGTTGTGCAGTACGTTGTTTCCCCAGGTGCTTTTCAGCCTACAGCATTGTGTTCATATTTCACACCTGGAGCATGTTCTGTTCTCCCATGTTCTATGTCCTGTTCTGTGCCAAAAAATACTTTACTGTTATTTTGGAGGTGCTAGAGAAGGGATAGAGAGAGGTGTGTGTGTGTGTGTGTGTGTGTGTGTGTGTGTGTGTGTGTGAGACAGAGTCTTGCTCTGTCACCCTGGCTGGAGTGCAGTGTTGTGATCACAGTTCACTGTGGCCTCAAACTCCTGGACTTCAGTGATCCTCCCACCTCAGCCTCCTGAGTGGCTGGGACTGAGGCATGCACCACCATGCTCGGCCTACATTTTTAATTTTTGTAGAGACAGGGTCTTG